CAGAACAAGGAAAAAAGAGAACTATGACATAACAGAACCGAGAAAATAGAGAACACTGAAATAAGAGAACCTTGACAAAACAGAACTCTGAAAAATAAGAACAACTGGAAATAATAAAGGATGAAAAACAAAAAATAGGTATCTAGTTATTGAACTTTAATGAATATTTTTTTACTCATGTAGGGTGTCATTGAAATGGTGTAAAGAAATTTGGGGGGTGATAGTACTCATAAAACTGGTTTAAAAAATTCCTATAAACATGGGTCGTAAAATGCATATTAAGGGAGTTAGGGGTGTTAAGGGGAAAAATTGAAAATCGTCTTTTTCTTTAATTGTAGGTTTGAACGAGATGAATTTTAGAAAAAAACCCTGTCTGGCATAGATTTTTTTTCTAAATCCTATATTTTCCCTTAAGAGAAGTGAAATTATAATAGCTAAATAACTCAAACAGGACTTATTTATACTTAATTTCCGAGAATATCAATGTTTTAGTTATGTTATATGGGTCTTTGTTGAAAGGGGCCTGAATAACTTAGGTCTTATTGCTTGATGTTAAAAGTAGGTAATTAGTTTCTGAGAATATTAATGTTAGGAAAATATAACTTTGTTGAGAGGGATTGTATGTTAATGAGATCGGTGGGTTTTGGTTAAAGTTTAAAAATGTAACAAAGAAAACACAATTACTCCCATAATATTCAATTGTTCAGGTTAGTTCAGTTTGAATATAAATTTGAGTAGTCAACTTTTATTCTTCAGTCGACTTTTCGAATTTCATTTGAACTGTTGTGTATCTAATTGTAAAATTGCTTTTTTCTGTGTATTTTGTGTTTAATCTTTATTTCACCTATCATTGCAATGGAATATTCTGTCACGTAGAAGGGAAATAGGGTTCTTGTGTACCAAGGGTATGAATATACGAAGTACAGAGAAAACACTGCACTCTCGTTTGTACCAGAACACGACGTGCGATCTGTATTTGATGACCTAGCAGCAACTTTTCCCGATGATGATGGCCACAACGCCGTGTTGACATATTTCTTCTCAACATACATAGAGGGCGCTGCTGGAAGATCACCGCAATTTCCAATCGGGTTGTGGAACCATTTCGGAGCCGCTGCCGAAAGAAGCCCAAAAACAACAAATTGTTGTGAAGGCTTCCACAACGCTTTGAACTCCATCTTCCACTGCAGCCATCCTAGCATATGGAATTTGCTAGATGGATTAAGGCGAGACATTGCCTGCCAACGGTTGCTGCTATCCAATGCAGCAACTGGTCGCCCAGAAGTACGGAAGAAGAAGTATGAGAACCTCAGCAATCAAGTGGCAGCAGTTGTGGAAGAATATGAAAATTATGATGATAAACTGGTGTATTTGCGGCGAATGGCAAACTTACAGTAATTTTTTTTTTAATATATACATAAGTGAAAAAATATTCTAGGTATTTTGTGTTTTTCATCCTTTATTTTTTCCAGTTGTTGTTATTTTAAATTTTATATTCAAACCCGACTAACCTGAACAATTGAATAATATGGGAGTAATTGTGTTTTCTTTGTTACATTTTTAAACTTTAACCACCGATCTCATTAACATACAACCCCTCTCAACAAAGTTATATTTCTAATTATTAATATTCTCAGAAATTAATTACCTACTTTTAACATCAAGCAATAGGGCCTAAGTTATTCAGGCCCCTTTCAACAATGACCCATATAACATAACTATAACATTGATATTCTCGGAAATTAAGTATAGATAAGGCCTGTTTGAGTTATTTAGCTATTATAATCTCACTTCTCTTAAGGAAAAATATATACATGAGTGAAAAAATATTCATTAAAGTTCAATAACTAGATACCTATTTTTTGTTTTTCATCCTTTATTTTTTCCAGTTGTTCTTATTTTTCAGAGTTCTGTTTTGTCAAGGTTCTCTTATTTCAGTGTTCTCTTTTTTCTCGGTTCTGTTATGTCATAGTTCTGTTTTTTCCTTGTTCTGTTTTATCACTGTTCTGTTTTTTCAGTATTCTGTTTTTTCATGTTCTGCTTTTTCACGTTCTGTTCATTCATGTTCTGTTATTTCATGTTCTGTTATTTCATGGAACCGTGATATTCAAATTCGAGCATTTTCAGTTTTTTGACCTCCACTATATATGAGTTTCTTTCTTGCTCTAGAGCTTCGGCCAGAGTTCTCAAAGTTCGGTTGTTTTCAATCATATCATTTAGTTTTATTTGTTGAGTCTTGAGCCAACCTTTGCATTTTAAGACCTTCGCCTCAGTTTCCCTGTTTGCTTCCTTCAAATGTTTAATTTGTTCTTCCATTTCCGATATTTGGTCAATGTCGACAGATAGAATGTCAGTTTGAGCAAGAGATTCATAGGTCAAGGTCTCTGTGCAAAATCATCATCTTTCGTGCATTATATACGCAATATTACTACCTTTGTGATATCACTCTGGTTTACACCTTCAATTAAATTGTTATAGAATTATGTAACAGTTAATTGCTAGAATTTGGTTGATTTTAACCACCTATTAAATCTAAATATTGGGTTTGGATCTAGTTATTGCAGTTCAGATAAGGTCAATGAGGTTATGAAAAGTGCAACTAAATTAATTATAAATGGAATTTACGTTAATTAAAAAAAATGGAATTTAAATCAACTGGTTTGAGGAAAATAAATAGATAAGCTTGGTGATATGTTGTTGATCAATTGACAACCTGACAAATATTATCAACACAAAAACTAAGTTACTAAAGGTACAAATTTAAATTTATAAAAAAAGGTAAGAGAATGAAAGATAAAAAGGTAATAATTATGATCAATTGTTAAGTTACGATACCACAAAACAGCTGCAGACTTCTTGGTTCTCACTCAGAACTTGATGATTTGAGTAGGTCTCAAGGATTGGCTTTGAGTGACCGGTTATTGGTGGAATCCAATTGATGGACTTGAATTTCTACCAAGCAGCAATTCGGTGGGGTAAATGGGACCGTAACGTAGGTAACTCTCAAACGGAGAGAAAAGCTCAGATTGAAAAAAAAAAACCTGTCCCACAGGGTTTTCTGGCAAGATAATGGTACTCAGGTCTACGGTACCAAAATGGCTTCCACTTCCAGGCACAATTGGTTCAAAATCCGTACAACGACGATTTTAAGTTACAGATTCAAAGGCAAAAACGCAACAGATAAGCACTGTAACTTAATACTTGTGAGATGCAGGGCTCAAATCCCCGAAAAGGGTAGACTTAAAGGCAAAGGTAACTACTTATTTAACCCTGATCTCTTTTCCAATTGAAAGCTTGATGTGAAAAGAACACCTTTCTTACAATTATTGACCTGCAAGTCACCTCGCATAGCGAAATGGTGCACTTGACATTGAACTCCATAAAATTTTGGCCAGGAATAGAGCAAAAATATGACAATCGATACTGATTCTGGAAATAAAATATTTTGCCAAGGAGCTGTGGAAGGAGTTAAAACGTGCCAAAAACTATTACCAACTCTAGATATTAACAAATAGGACAAAACTAAATGCACTAGTAGCAGCAATTAGTAACAATAGTGAATGAAAATTAATTTAAGTGAAACTGTTATCGATCAAAAGTCGTTACCCAAGATATCAATACTAAAGATTTTAGTGCCCTCAGTATTGAAATTGCAAACTTGTGCAACGGAAGCAATTACAGAAAAATACCAAAATTATAAGAGATAAGCCTTTAACTAGCTAGATGGCGCACCGGTAAATACTTTCGTACAGCTAGGCGCTTTCAAACGAATTTAACCAAAATTGAACCGGTAAAATGATCAACCAGAAAGATCATCGATCTCAAAAACAACTTGTTTACTCAAACAGCTGATTCCAAGCTAGAAATTATATACTTTCGGCGAATATGTAAATAATTAATAAAATTTGATTCTATAGCGAAAGGATCTAGGATTTATTAAGATATTTGATTATGAAAGAAGGCACAGTTAATGGAAAAATTTTCCTTGATATAGAAAATTTACAAAATAATGGATTAATTTTGATAAGGTAATTTTACATTAATTTAGGCACGTTACAAACCCGATCTGAGCCGAAAGTGACCCGTGGATTGTCGCGGGAAACAAAGAGTGCGAGGGGCCATCGTTTCTCATTTCGCCAATTTTTTCAAGCAGTAACTACATATTAAGAAATAGTAATAAAATAAATAAATAATTTTTTCAATGTATTTCTGACAGGGGGGTGCAAGTGCACCCCTTGCACCCTGCTGCCTGCGCCCATGGTCCAGAATGTGACAGAATCAATGACATACAGAATAAACAACACAGTGCTTGACCCGAACTTCATATTGAATTTCGTTTTTGACAGGTCAGTAGATTGCCTCAAATGCTTCAAGCGCGTGTTCGTGTTCCAGCCGTACTGCGCTTCGAGAGCTGCTAACTTTTGCGTTTCAAACATAGAACACTGTACTGCACCGTGCTTGAAGCACACAGCTGGAAAGTGGCTTATTTCGCACACTAGTGCGCGAAATAGCTAGTTCGCATACTGGTGTCATGGTGACACATACCTGTCAGGAAACCAAAAATAATTAAAATTCACCTACCTTTGATTGAGAATGCAATTTTGGCTTCGAATGATCAATATTTAAATGGAGTTGTAGAAAAAATATTGTTTGCAACTCGGGCGCGAAATACTTTGGTGATCTCGACTATTTTTATAACTCGGCTGCGCCTCGATATAAAAATGAGATCTCGATCACCAAAGTAGCATTTCGCGCACTAGATACAAAAATAACTATTATCAGAAATGCATATTCTAAATAACGACCGTTGGCGGAAACAGCTAATGACACCGTTGATGACGTCGTCAACGATGCAACACCATTTTACATTCAAACAAAATCGATGAGCGATGAGCAATCCTGTAGAAGTGTGTAATATCCTTGAAATGTGCTAACAAGTTTGGGGTTATGTTCATTGGGGAAAATCAGCTGTTTGGTTTGTGTTTATGGTTGTTTGCATTGCATTCTTGGCTTGCATTTTGATTTTAGACTTGATTTCAATAATTATTCGTTAAGTATTGAAGTATTTTGGTGAACTGTTTTGTTTTTATTAGTTTTATCCTTGTTTTATCTACCTAGAAGTTATCTAATGTACACTTGAAAGAATTCCCATTAAGTAGGTACCTAATGCATTTATTGCATTATCTAATATTTAAATAAAGAACATAACATTTTGGTGGATAACCATGAATGAAGAACATGTTTCCCTTCAATTTGAAAATACTGAAAAGAGCAGAATGTTAGGGGTAAGATTATTTCACACACAATTCCAAGGAAAATAAAATTGTAAAGTTAATTCCACTAAAATAATGGTTGTTTTAGGTAAAACCCAATGACAATGAATTTACTAGTTACTGCCGAGCCTGCCTAAACAAAACCGAAAAAATGATATTCCTGTTAGAAAATACAGAAACTACAAATGATATTTTCACTAAATTCTGCAATATTTTGAATTTAGAAGTAAGTGAATCAGTGATTAGTGAATACATATATAAACTTCAACAACAGTTACGGACACAGTATTAATAAGTCTCATTTTTAGATTGAACTCACAAGCAATTATCCTTCATATTTTTGCGAAATTTGTCATGATAAAATTTGCATTTTTTTTGAGTTTAAACAGCAATGTCTGTCTTCGAACGATTTGATTTCTCGATACCCAGAAATTTTGGTAAGTTTTTAAGTTAATATTCTTGGTCATATCAGTATGTGTTATATCTATCGGGTCTTCAAAAAAAAAACCAATCGAAGATTGCTTTGGTGACGAAAACGTACGTCGCATTACTGTTTCTTTAGGATTTTTGACATTACTTTTTGACATTTAGTTCATTGACAAAATTAATGAAAAATTTTGCTAAGACATATATATAAATCCTTTATTTAGTCAAGACTAATTTACCGTTATACAGTTACAGTTATCAATTGAAATTCCACTAAAGCTAATTTATAATTTAATTAAAAAACAATTTAAAATCTACAGTCAATAACACAATGATAAAAAATTATTTAAAAAAAAACGTACACTGATACAATACAAGTGACACATACTACTTACTTATAAGTTAACATCACTTAGCATATAATCTTTGAGAACTTTTTTAAAAGAATTCACTGTTTTCATAGACTTAACATTATTTGGCAGATCATTATACCTACTCAAGCCCTTAAAATATAATGAGTTTTGCGACCTTTCCTGATCTACCCTTGGGATATAAAAATTTTCTCTGTGGCGCGTATGATATTGATGCACTTCAGAAGCATACATAATTTTGCCTAACAAATATTGCGGAGCTTGACCAATTTTTATTTTATGAATGAATGTTAGGGTGTTAAACAGAAGAAGCTCCCGCACTGGCAGCCATTGAAGTTCTTTTAACATATCCTTTATTGGTGTTAACCTTGGTTTTTTGAGTATCACCCTCATACTTCTGTTTTGCAATTTCTGCAATCTTGAGAGCTCATTTTGTCTGAAGAGAAACAAAATACTAGAACAATAATGGAAATGTGGAAGTATTAATACATTAAATATAGTTTTTTTAGTCCAAGTAGACAAGTATGGAGAGCAGCGAGATAAATAATTTACTTTAAAAGCGATTTTTTTAATTATTTCTAATGCATGACTTTTAAAATCTAGTTTAGGTATGGTCAATCCAAATTCCTAAGTATTTAATTTTTGTTACCATTTCAATAGTGTCGCTGCCCAACAATAATTTGCAGTCCATAGCCAATAGCTGTTTGTAAATGGATTCCCTTGCAATAATCATGTACTTTGTTTTAGAAATATTGACCTTCAAATCATTAACATTACACCACTGATACACATCATCCAATATTTGATTAAGTGATGTCTCAAGTTGGCCCAGATCTTTTGTGGAATAATAGAATAAGGCATCGTCAGCAAAAAGATATGTGGTACAATTTTTTACGTTTTTAATTATGTCATTAATATATATAATAAATAGCAAAGGCCCCAGCACGCTCCCCTGAGGGACGCCAAAATCATTAGATATATCTTCTGATAATATGTCATTGACTTTTAGTCTTTGTTTACGGTCACTCAAGTAGCTCACAAACCATTTTAAAACTACTCCCCTAATACCAATGCTTTTTAGCTTTAATATTAACCTTGTCCTGTTTACAGTTTCAAATGCCCTTCGTAAGTCAAGAAAAATGGCACCAGTTGCTAAGTTTTTGTCAATATTTTGCCTCCAGTCTTCCAAGATACCCTGCACAGCAGTTTCGCAACTAAATTTTACTCGAAATCCTGATTGAAAATCACTTAGTATTTTATTCCGATCTATATACTCAACAAGTTGCATATACACCATTTTTTCCAAAATTTTGTCAATAGTGCAAAGCAAATTTATTGGACGCAATTCATTGGCAGATTTTAATTTAATTACTTTGGGGATCGGGATTATAGTGGAAACTTTTAACATATCAGGAACCTGACCTAATTCTAGCGAAGAATTAACTAAATTTAAAAGTGGATTCTTTATAATCTCAAAAGTATTTTTGAGTAAATTGATGTTAATATCATCTGGACTTGATTTATTAGCCATTCCAAAAATAATATCTTTCAACCCTTCAAAATCCAACATACTAAAATCTGAAAAATTAACCAAATCGTCATGGTGAGCCAATGGAAAATCTCCAAGATCAGACTTATCTATATCCCGAATCATATCTTTAATACTATCAACAAAAAAAATATTCAGTTTATTAGGTAACTCCTCTTTATCACTAATTAAGGTATTATTTATTTCTACCTCATCAATTTTAGCCACTGTTCTTTTTGAAGGTAATAAAGTTTCCAAAGTTTTCCACATTTCTGTGGGATTATTTTTATTTTGACATATTTTTTCTTCATAGAACTTACGTTTCTCTTCTCTAAACACTTGAACTGCAAAATTTCTTTTTTGCTTATATTCATTTAAGTTTTCATCTGTTTTATTATTTTTATAAGTCCTATAACTAAAATCACGTTCTCGCATCGCCATCTCAACCCTATTGTTCCACCATTTTTTATATTTAGGAAAATTTTTTACGGTTTTTATTGGAGCAACTAAATTTAAAATTTCCAGAACAGTTGACACAAAACTGCTAAACTTATGATTTATGTCAGAATGATAGTACCTGAACTCACAATTGCGCAACATTTGGTTGATACTCAAAAAATCAATATTGCCACCTCTAGTATCAACAGTCTTAGCCACTTTAGGACTCACATTGTGTAATATTTCAATCATGTAATGATCAGTAATTTTTGGGGTAATAATAACATTAGCTTTAAACAACTTATCAGAGTTCGTTAGCACCAAATCTATGATTGAGTCTTTATCTCTACCAGAGCGAGTTGTAGCAAAAATAATATTTTTAAGACCTATATCTACAAGAATTTCTTTTAAAGCTTTTGACTCATCCGTTCTGTAATCGATGTTAAAGTCGCCTACAACTAAAATGACACAATTTTCATCAATCAAATTTTCTTCGCACCATGCTTGAAAAAAAAGCTCAAAATCCCGTTTAGATGAACTTGGAGATCTGTACAGAGATACCAAAAGATATTTTTTCTTATTGTAAAAGATGTATGTGTAAACCAACCAATAATTTTTATGTTTAAATGTCTGTTGTGATTTTAAAATTTTAACATCATCTCTTATGTATAAAATCGCCCCACCTGTACTTCTACTATTACTATCTACTCTCTCCAAGCTATAACCATCAATATGAACCTCCCCATCCAGAATTTTTTCTGTTAAGCAAGTTTCAGACAATGCTATAACTACTGGTGATCTACTTAAAGCTAGCTGATAAATCTCATCAAAGTGAGCCGTTAAACTAGATGAGTTAAGGTACAATATAAAAATCTTATCACGCTTGTTTATGTTTCTGGAATTTCTATCAAAACTTGATCTAAAAAACTGCCAGTAGATACTAACAATTGATCTTTTACCTCAGCCCCCGTAATCGCATTTTGACTACTTTCGTTAATTCCGCTATTATCAACAAAAGTTTCTGTATTAACATAAATAAGATTAGCATTCCTTTTACTTACAGCAAACACGGTGTTGCTTATAAGATTTGCAATTTCCACCTTACTTTTTCTGAAACCATTCCAATCATTGAGATCACAAAACATTGTTTTTCCCTCACTATAAAAGTTCAATCGATCTGCATATTCATAAAGCTTTTTATTAAACATTTGCACCCTTTCATCAAGGCCATTCTTTCTATAATTTATGTAAGGAATTGAAGTTAAAACAACGTTAGTGTGAGTGCAGTATTTAAGTTTTCTATTTATATCTCTAAAAGATGGAAATTGCAATCTATCAACATCATTAGAACCAGCCATTATCAAAACATAGTCATCCAAAGTAAAATCTTTTACTAATTCAACAATGTCTTTTGTAACCATTTCAAAAGATGCGCCTGGCTTAATTATTGTTTGACATACCAATTTATTGCATTTTACCCCAAAGGATCTGTCCAGATGGCGACCATATTCGTCACATAAAATAAGTAACCTTCCCCTATTTTTCATTTTTCCACTTCTTTCTGTACTCAAATCCTCATTATTTTCTAGCTGCTTCTGCTTCTCCATTTTCTCATTCTTGCTGTCCTTGTGTAGATCTTCTTTCTTCTTTCCCAATTCATTCTTCAACTTTGTTTCATTCTCCGCATAAATTCTATTATCTGCCTCAAGTATTACTAATGCGTCCTTCATCTGATTCTTGACAATTACAAGATCTGATAAGTCTCCTTTCAGTTTTATAATAAATCTTTCATTGTCATTTATCTGATTAATAAGATTTTTGTTTTTTTCTTTTAATTCCTCAATAAGTGGTTTTAGGTTAATCTCTTCGTCCGTTTGTTTTTTTTGTGCTTTTATTTTTATTTTTAGTTGTTCAATTCCATTTTTAAGTTCATCAATTTTTTTATCTTTCTCTGTAATCTCTTTCAAAAAACTCTCTTCGCTTCTTGAAGCGTCCTCCATTAATGACACTGAACTTCGTTTTACTCGTGCTATATAGTTATCCTTGTCTATTATTTCAGTTTTCAAGTCTTCAATAACAGATTTCAATATGTCAAAAGTGTCTGGCTCATCCTCAGCTGCTGCATCCATACAGTTTCGGGAACATATTGCTAAACTGTCCCTTACAATGGTATATTGTTTGTTTAACCTTGTCCAACAGCTTCTATGAAATACTTTTTTACATACGACACAAAACAATACAGTTGATTCTTTATTTTTGCAACATTTAAATGACGACATTTTCGGGTTGAATCTTTAAAAATTAACAAAAAATTCATGTGCACTCGGACTACAGTGCATTTCAAGTTTAGTAGTTTTGTTTATGTTAAGAGCAGGTTGAGATAAGCCCATTAGCAAAAAATAGGTACCTGGAGATAAAAGTCTATTGTTATTTTTGTTATTTTATTTTGATGGTATAGAATTTTTCAACTGTTTATCGAATTTACCAGGAAATGATTCGATTTCCACTCATGAAACCCTCACAAACAAAAAGTTTACACTGTCACAAACACAATGATACCCAATTTATTAAAAAATGCGAACTTTAAACTCAAATTCAAGATTTACAGGAGCCCATGTTTGACTCTGCACAATACTTTAAAAATTTATGATACCTTTAAAAAACTATAGCAATC